CTGTGGGTTATTTAAAGACCTATCACTTGCATGTCTGCTTATTCTGAGGAAGAGGTTGAGCAAAGATGGTGGAGTTTGGGGGCTGGCCCTGTGGCTTAGCAGTTAAGTGCGTGCACTCCGCTACTGGTGGCCTGGGTTCAGATCCCAGGCGTGCACCGACTGCACCGCTTGTCCAGCCATTCTGAGGCCGCGTCCCACATACAGCAACTAGAAGGATGTGCAGCTATGACATATGACTATCTACTGGGGCTTTGGGGAGAAAAAGGAAAAAAAAAAAGGAGGGGGATTATTGGCAATATATGTTAGCTCAGGGCCGGTCTTCCTCAGCAAAAAGGGGAGGATTGGTATGGATGTTAGCTCAGGGCTGATCTTCCTCACACACACAAAAAAAGATGATGGAGTTTTAGGTAGTAAGAGTAGCACCTCTATCTACCAAGAATTGATGAGGTTGACCATCCATATTTATTCAACTTGAGTGGTTAAGGGTAAGTGAGGATATTGGGAGCTTTTTGCTTCTTCAGCGCACTCTCATTGATCAGAATTGAGGGATTTCTTTTGTCTTGGTTTTTCTCTTATATGATGGAACATTCTTTTTTCCAGCGTCCCTTCTGTTTACAATACTACAGCGTCTTTGTCAAATACGGTTGCTTGGGAAGTGGGCCACCTAGCTGTTTGATCTGCAAGATCATAGTTTATTTTGGATTCTGTCTCATTTTTATTCTAAAGTCCTTTCAAAATGTTCTGACAGGTATTTTAGTTCAGACAAAGGGGCTATTTTCTATTCCAATTTCTACTTTTGAATTAGGCTTCCAGTTTCAGGTTTAACTCCTTTGACAAAATGAGATGAAAGGGTTGTTTTTATGCCGACACCTTTGTTAACTCCTGAATGTTGTCAGAGGCATTTTCTAGTATATTATGAAAATCTTCTATATTTTCATCTTTTTTCTGTTTGTATGATTGAATTATGGGCCAATCAATTTTTATTGGAAATGTTTGGGGATACTACTTTTAGGAGACTTTGCCCTGCTTTTCATGCTTTTTCTTTTTTGACCCTAGGTTTATTGTGAAAAGAGAGATTCCGTAGATCCTTTCTGGGTCAGTCCAATCAGCTGTGCCATCCAAGATTTAGCATCTGAGGTTCTGACCAACCTATGTACAAGCTTATGTAGATTAGGTAACCCTGAATCATATGCACCCAAAAGTATTCCAAATTCTTCTATGAATAGTTGCTGGTCTTGTATGAGAGTAGGGAGATCCTTAATTATAGCTCTTAATTCATCTTGGGTCCAAAATTTAAATTCTACAGTTGCCTGCATATCTGGCTCATAGGAGGGATGGATCTTTAGAGGCAACTGGTATTTTGTGGTCATAGGAGAGTCACTGGGAATAGGTAGGGGGTCTGAACAAGAGGAAGAGAAGGGAGGAGTTGATGGAGGTAAGGAAAGAGAGAGATCAGAAGGATAAGGAGGAAGAGGGGCATCTGGATATAGGGAAAGAACTGGAGGACAAGGAGGGGGAGGATTTACTAAGAAACGAGTCTAGTTTGTTGTTGCTTAAGTTTGTCAAATGCTCATTAGCTGTGGCTAAAGAATCTTTTAGTAAAATGATTTTTGAACCAGAATTTGCTTTGGAGATCTCTGCATACCAATCAAAAACTGCTGCCCATTAGGCCTGAGAAATCTTAATTCCCTTTCTTTTCTAAGGTGCATATCAAACAAAAAATTTATTCAAATCAAATGTTCCCCAGATTGGCCACTGAGGGCCTAAATCCTCATGGCTGGAGTTGTGCCACTTAGAGAGACAGGCACCAGAATTAGGATTGTAATGAGAATACACATAAGAAGCAGCCGTTTTTCCTAGAGGAGTAGAGGATTTAGGCTTCGACGACCCAGGAGAGCTGGCAATAGTTGATTGAAAGTAATGCTTGTGTTCTTTGTGTTTCAGGGCCCCTCCAAACACAGAGCATGTGCCCCCTGGCAGGTGGAAAATTAGAGTGAAGTCTCTCTAGATCAAAGGCCAACTCTCAGGACAAAAAAATCAGGATGAAGGAGAACCTCATCCAGTTTTATAGGTGACCCACAAAAAAGGTTGTCTAAATGGATGCTGGTCTGGTAGGAACTGCAAACTCATTGGTCTGTGAGGCTGGCTCGAACCACAGACTTACAGGGCCTATGCCGTGTTCTACCCTCTGATTCTCCTTCTTCTGAAAAACAACTCTTTTAGATAGCATAATACAAAACAGAAGTACAAAAGAGAGCCAAAAATGATGAAAAGGAATGGCCTGGTTCCACCAAGGATGCCAAACAAATGGAAACTATAACAAAACCTGGGTACCAGACTTAGAATAAAGAGCTGAGGAACTCAATGCAAAGTTAGCCGAGTTCAGCCCTGGCACTGACTTGCCATGTTGGCACAGACTTGACAAGTCACAGATAGCAAGGCACAGGGGGCCTCTGTGGGTGCCACATCTGGCTGAAGGTGGCCTCCATGGTGATGGACAGTGCAGACCATGTCTCAGTGGAGTCTCCAGGAAAACTGTGGAAATAAACGAAGACCACCCCAATAACAAACAGAGACTATTTATTCAGAGCTTGCTAGAGCACGGAGTTAGCCACTATCACTTGCATTTTGGCAGACTCAAAGGCAGATGGGAGTGGAAAAACTTTACTGTGAAAAAGGGGAAAGGCTCAGGTGTACGCTGATTGGAGGTTGTAGGCCTGGGGGAGCTGGAGGTGGGCTAACTGGAAACCAGGCATCTTATGTTATTGGTTTGGGGAGCATGCATATTTGGCTTTCTCTTGTTAGTCCTGAGTTGGAAGTGAGTGAAAAAACCGGGAAGCCAGCAGTCACTGACTGAAACCTAACTGTTCGGGTGGACTGCTGTAGGAGTTTTGGTTTGGCTTCCTGGGTGACTTGCTGCAGAGGTTGTGAGTCAGGGTTCTGTTATATATGGTCTGGCACTTGTCCATTTATATAATCAGTCTGTCAAGGCGAAGATGTCATTGAGCAATTACATCTCATTTAATCATCGTAACTGTCTCCTCCGTGTTCCTATTTTACAGACGAGGAAAGCAAGGCTCAGGGAGTATGAGTAATGTATCCAGGGTCATGTGACTAGTGACACAAGCAGAATTCACACCTACGAAAGTTGGACCTATTTTTAACTGTTTCATCTTGTAAAGACCATGAAATTATTCTGATGTTGCCCTATCTGTTAAAAATATTAGGGTGCCCAATAAATACTCATTGGGTGAGTGAAGAGATGAATTTTTAGAACAGTTCTTTTGAGATTGCCTTCAGAGCCTGCATTTTTTGAATACCTTCAGTAAAGGCATAGCTCAATGATGGGTTTAGTTTTTGGAAACAAACATCTTTCTGAACTAAGACTGGTGAATAACGTAAAAGAATCAGTTGGCTCAAAAATCTAGTGTGTCCATTCAGTAACGAAATGGATCTTGCGATTTTTGCACATTTTGCGTGTGATTTACAAAGCAGCTTTGAAGCCTTTTCGAAAGAAGTTGCGAAAATTGTTGTACTTTGGGAATAAGAAATCAACTTTCCAAAAGTTGGAAGGGTAACGCTCATTTAAAAAAATAAGCTAAATTCTCATTATTTTTGTGGTTTATCTTTCTGTGTAGTTTTATGTAGTTCTCAAATGGTCTACATCATTCAACAAACATTTGTTGAACATTTATTTATGCATCCAGCGCTGTGCTTTGAACACAGATATCAAATATAGCCCTTGTCAACCAGGAGTTCACAATCTAGTTGAGGAAGACAGAAAATTAACAATTGAAATGCAGTTTCACGAGTATAATGGCTGATAAATGGCAGGATGCCCTGGGAACATGCAGTAGGAACAGTGGTGAGTTGCTACATGGTAAACAACTGACTTCTGGCGGGAGAGGGTAGGGAAGGGCCTGATTTGTAGTGTTTACTGATTTCCATGTTGTAAACACTCCCACCATGGCCAATTTCAAGCTACCATCATGATGCCACTAAGGGAGTTGGAAAGAGATGCGCAGTAGTACACCACTATATCCTATTTCTGCCATTCAGATACAAAAGATGTAAATAACCTCAAGAGCGTAGCTAACAGTAAAATGTAGTAAAATAATTAGGAAGTGATGAGTTTGAGTAGTTATTACTTTTGCTTTTAATATAATTAACTTAATTGTAAACTTACATAATTTTTTAAAGAGCAGTTGTAGTTAAAAACCAGCTCACAAAATTACTGAACATTTAACCATCAACTCTTGCAAGAGAGTATGAACCAGTACAAGTGGGCTCTAGCATATCACTGGATAAGAGCAATTACTGCAGGCTCACCTAAGGCGAAGATTGCAAGGAAGTCTTGACAGGGATCCTGCCTGTTCATTCCTCATTTCTCTATCTCCAGCACCTAGTGCTAGGATGTTGAATGGTTAGAGTAATTCAGTAATTCAATATTTAAAAAAAAAACTTTTTTAGCCTCCACTATACCCCGGGCACTGTTCTAGGTGCTCTGTGGGTACCGCAGCAACAACCAAGGCCCCGCCTTTAGGGAGTTTACATTTGTGTGTTTGTGTATAAACAAATGTCTGTCGTGTCAGGTGGTGGGTGATAAAAATTCTGTAGTGCAAAGGAGAAAAGGAGTGGGCATTGCTATTTCATAGGGGGTTATCAAGCAATTGTAAACGTTGCAGTGTATGAAGGTAAAGACGAAAGGTTCTGGAATCTGAGAAACACGGTCTGAGCAAAGCGGAAGCAGAGACTCTACGCAGATCTCACCATTCAACGGTACTGGAACACCGAGTAATTTAGGAAATTTTTTTCTTCTGAGAAGCCCACGGAGTTACCTTTTACTCTCCTCAGCCCTTCTGCACAACTGCAAAGTGCTTTCCAGTCCTTTTCAGGAACCCGAGGGTTTAACCAGACCAATCAGAGGGAGCGAGGCGGGGCTTATTTTCAGTACCTTCCGAAGCCCGCTAAACGCACAGACACCCTTGCGCATGCTCAAATCCTCCGGCTTCTGGCGCACCGTCTGGGGCGGTTCGCGCATGTGCGAGAGCGAGACGCAGGTTTTTGCCCCAAGGCCTTGCCGTACCGTCCAGGCGGCGAGCTGCGTCGTGGTTCTGCCGCGTGTTCTGGCGTGTGGAGACTGTTGTCCTGTCACCGTTGCCGCCGCTGACATGAACCGCGAGAGCTTCGCGGCGGGCGAGCGGCTGGTGTCGCCGGCTTACGTGCGGCAGGCCCGTGAGGCCCGCCGCTCCCATGAGCACCTCGTACGGCTGCTTCTGGAGAAGGTACCGAGCTGTCGGGTCGCTCGCAGCCGTCGCGCCCCCCGGCTCCGGCTCCGCCCCGCGCCCCTGTTGGCGCTGGGCCCGCCTCAGCCGCTCCTATTTGCTGGTTGAGACCTGTCCCGGAGCCTGTCGCAGCTTGGCGTGCACTCGGCTGCCTTGCTGCGCTCAGCGCCTTCTCAGCCTCGCCAAAGCCAGCAAGACCCAGGGAGTGTCGTTAGGGGCTGTGTGGGCTCGGGATTTCGAGCCCCGCGGTTTTCTAACTTCGGGATGCGGAAGTGAGGGGAAGTCCCAGTCGGTTTACTGTTTTGTTGGCGGAAAGGGCAAAGTTCGCCCCTTCCATCTTTCCGTCCTCCCAGGGACTCAGGGAATACGTGATGTTTCTAAACCGCGATCTACTAACTCGAACGAAGTCTGCCGCGGAGCTTCACGGGTCTCGCTCCTGCAGCATTCCTGAATTTTAATTTCATTCAGGTTTGACAACCCCTAGTTTTAACACCCTGGTTTGAAGAATCTTCGTTGAAGATAAAGTTTAGTGGTTTTCGGTTACTTTAACCTACTGCAACTTTAAACCTGAGTAAATCTCATCGTGTGCGTGTATCATCACTCCTCACGATCTGTAGATAATTGTAATACAGTGTGACACAAACATTTTGCCTACTCGAGGTTTCTTCGTAGTGCTGACTTTGTATCTGAATTTTAGAAAGCAAGGAGCGTGGCAAAATACACGTTAAAAAGTTGTGAAATTCATTGAAGTAGGGTCCTAGGGAACGTTGGTTTTCTTAAATATAATTATAGTTTTTTTTTTTTTTTTTTTTTTAAGGGCAAGTGTCCAGAGGATGGTTGGGATGAAAGTACACTTGAACTCTTTCTACATGAACTTGCGATCATGGATAGCAACAATTTCCTGGGCAATTGTGGTGTGGGAGAAAGGGAGGGGAGAGTGGCATCTGCATTAGTTGCTCGGCGTCATTACAGGTATTTTTTTCAAGTCGCATGTGAAAACATTTCTTGTTTCCTTTTTTGGTTAAAAACAATGGTGGCAGTATTCATCATGTTAAATTATAAAATGTCCATTTGTAACCTACTTCTTCCCTGTTCAAATGCTCTCGTAAACTAGATGCAACAGGGAGATGGAAACAATTTATCTGAGCAGGTGCTTTTCAAGACAGTAGGGTAAAGTGCTGGTATGTGGTGGTTACCCTGTCAGGTTCTGGGTTAACAGTACTGGCCATGTCTTCTGATAAGAATGTTTAACCTAATAAACCTGTTTGGTTGTAAGAGTTTAAAATATGTTAAGGTTGTTTGTAGTTTTCCATGTTTCTTTTCTAACATGGCAAATTTTTTTTAGAGAATTATATAGAGGTAGAACTTTAAAGGGTTGTTTGCATCTAAACTGAATCCCATTTTATAAGTACCTTGCTTTGTTGCAATAAATGTAGGAAAAGTTTTATTAAATCTAATTTTAGATTTTTAAGTTGCTTTTTTGTTTTGCATTATTTCAGAAAGCTTTTCATCAATTCTGATAACCATTTAATTGATAGTAGTTCAAAATATCATTTCTCTGTTCTCCAACCTTTCTGTGAAATATAGGTAAACTCTTAGAAAACTCCTGTTTTCTGTGATTTTAAATCATGATGAAATTTTCCTAGGGATAGTAGACTTTTACTTCAATCAAAACCATCAAACTTCCAGTTCAATCAAAAGGCACCAACTTCTAGTTATAAAATAAGTCATGGGATGTAATATATAGCATGGTGACTATAGTTAATAGTACTGTATTGTATATTTGAAAGTTGATAGGAGAGTAGATCTTAAAAGTTCTCATCACAAGAAAACAAATTTGTAATTGTGCAGTGATGGATGTTAACTAGACTTAATTGTGGTGATCATTTCACAGTATATACAAATGTGGAATCATTATGTTGTACACCTGAAACCAATATAATGTTATATGTCAATTAAATCTCAATTTAAAAAAATTGCAGTCAAAACTAATGATGATGAATATATAACTTGGATGAAAAATTCGTGGTTAAAAATGGGCTGATAGGGGCTGGCCCCATGGCGTAGCGGTTAAGTGCACTTGCTCCACTGCTGGCGGCCCAGGTTCGGATCCCGGGCGCGCACTGAAGCACCGCTTGTCAGGCCATGCTGTGGCGGCGTCCCACATAAAGTGGAGGAAGATCGGCACTGACGTTAGCTCAGGGCCAGTCTTTCTCGGCAAAAAGAGGAGGATTGGCATGGATGTTAGCTCAGGGCTGATCTTCCTCACAAAAACAAAAAAAGGTCTGATAACATGGTTGATGATATATGTTAAAAACAATGCTTTGTACATGAGGTTTCAGTAGTAATGAAATGTGACACTAGTGTTCTGTGATAATTCCAGTGTCCAGAATTTCCGATCTAACTGTACATTAAAATAAATTTTTCAGTTTGAAGGGTATTCAGAGCTATCATTAGTGTATAACATCATCTAGTTTAAAATGAGTGGATTTGCACACTAATTTTCAGGGAACGTATAGTTCTTTTCAAACTAAGGCAATATTTGAAACATCAATTCATCCCCATTGGAATTTAGCCCACTGCTCTAATTAAAGGAAAAAGAAAGAAAGAATTTAATGTTGTATATATTCTGGTTTTCTACTGCTGCATAACAAACCACTCCAAAACTTAGTGGCTTAAAACAGTCATTTGTTTTATCTCTCATAGTTCTGTGGGTTAACTGGGCTCAGCAGGGTGTTTATAGCTTTGGGTCTTTTAGGTAGTTGCAGTCAGATGTTGGCTGAGAGTTTAGTCATCTGAAGATTCAATTGGGCAGTTTATCCAGGTTGACTGACTTAGAGGGCTGGGAGCTCAGATGGCCTCTCTATGTGGCTCGGGCTTCTCCCAGCATGACAGCTGGATTGTAGGAAGGAGCCCCCCAAGAGGCCAGGTGCAAATCTTTAAGGCTTCCTGTGATCTAGCTCAGCAGTTCCAGACCATCACTTCTGCTGGATTCTTCCTGGCCGAGCAGGTCACTAAGGCCAGCTCAGGTTCAAGTGGGGGGTGGAATTAGACCCCACCTCTTGGTGTGGCAGTAGCATGTGGGCATAGGGAGAAAAGGAATTGATGGTGACTGTCTTTGCAGACTAGCTACCACAGCATAATTGATGAATTTGTTTCAATTTAAGTAGGATATTTTCATATTATTGATAGTTTATGAAATATGTCTACAATAGTCAAGTATCGCTTCTGGTATTTTTTTGGTTATTGTATTTGTATACTTATACAGTGGGTTACTTAGAACACTGAATATTTTTGTCCAGTTATTGGCCCATTTTTTGCTTAGGTTCATTCATGGAATTGGACGATCGGGTGATATTTCTGCTGTGCAACCAAAAGCTGCAGGTTCTAGCCTTTTGAACAAAATTACCAATTCTTTGGTCCTGGACATCATAAAGTTGGCTGGTATGTACTGTGTTAATCATAATATTTTTGGCTGACCAGCCACACACATCTTTGCCTAATTTCTTTTATTAATGCTTCTTTCCAAAAAGGATGTAAATGGCTTCTACAAAGACATATATATATATATAAACCTTTAGAATAAGATGGAGAATCAGAGCCGTAAGCCTGGGGGATGAATTTGGCAGTGAGCTTCCTGAGAACGAGTATGGAAGAGGAAGCACCAAGCCTACAACTCTTATTATTTGATAGAAGAAGTATATCATCTCTTCAAGAAGGATGCTGGTTTTTCAATGGAACAACTAATTTCTTTTTTACTTTTTATTCATAGGTGTCCATACAGTGACCAACTGCTTTGTAGTTCCTATGGCAACTGGTATGAGTCTAACTCTGTGTTTCTTAACATTACGACACAAAAGACCAAAGGCAAAATATATTATATGGCCAAGAATAGACCAGAAGTCCTGCTTTAAATCCATGATCACTGCAGGTAAAAGAAGAGAAGTGGCATATATAATGTCTTCAACATCACGGTTAGAAAATTCAAACTTTTTATATAGAGATAGATAAATGAAAAAGAAACTAAATGTGTTCCTTTTCCTTCTTTTTATTGTGGTAAAATACACATAACACAATTTACCATTTTAACCACTTTTTTTTTTTTGAGGAAGATTGGCCCTGTGCTAACCATCTGTTGCCAGGCTTCTTCATTTTTCTTTTTTCTCCCCAAAGCCCCAGTACATAGTTGTGTATCATAGTTGTAGAGTTGTAGCTCTTCTGTGTGGACATCAAGCATGGCTTGATGAGCAGTGAATAGATCTGCGCCCAGGATCTGAACTGGCAAACCCTGGGCTGCCAAAGCGGAACACGTGAACATAACCGCTCCGCCGGCTGGCCCCATTAACCATTTTTAAATATACAGTTCCGTGACATTAAGCACATTCACGTTGTTGTGCAACCATCACCAGCATCCATATCCAGAACTTTTTCATCCTCTTAAACTGAAACTTTACCCATTAAACAATAACTCTTCCTCCCTACTACCCCCAGTCCCTAGCAATCACCATTCTACTTTCTGTCTCTATGAATTGGACTACTCTAGGTTTTTCTTATAAGTGGAATCATATTTGTCCTTTTGTGACTGGCTTATTTCACTTAGCATAATGTCTTTAAGGTTTATCCATATTATAGCATGTGTCAGAATTACTTTCCTTTTTTAGGGCTGACTAATATCCCATTGTATTTATATCCCACATTTTGTTTATTCTTTCATTGATGGACACTTGGATTGCTTCCACCTTTTGGCTGTTGTGAATAATGCTGCTATGAACATGAGTGTACAAATACGTGTTTGAGTTCCTGCTTTGAATTCTTTTGGGTGTATTCTCAGAAGTGGAATTGCTGGATTGTATTGTCCTTATTTTTCAAAATGGGATATGATTACTGCCTCACAAGATTGTTTTGAGGATTAAATGGGATGGCATATGAAGTGCCCAGCAGTAGTCCCTGGAGTTTAAAAGGTGCTTCAGGAATGTTTGTCGTATATACATGAGTGGAGGATACATAAATTATTACCAGGAATCAAAGTACGAGGAGGCAGGCATCATTAAGTATAGATGAAACAAAAACTTTAAATTGATGTTTTGTTATTTGGCTTGCTTAAGTCGAATTTGAGAATTTAAGGTTATTTTTGAATGGCTTCAGTCTGTTGTATGAAATGAACAGTATTGAGCTGTAATTAAACACCATAAATAATCCTAAAGAAACTCATGTAAAGGGATTCATAATAAGGACATATAGCAGAAACTGATAGACTTTTAAAAAACATACTGACTTATTTTAAGTGGCAATAAGTTGTCAAATCTGTTCATTTACATCCTATTAACCAAAGATCTGATAACCAAAGTTATGGAAAAATTTCCCGTATTGAAAAATGGGAAACTTTTTTTCAAAAGATGTAATTTGGACCACAATTTATAGTTCATTCTTTTTTAGGATAGCCTGTATCCTTAGGAAGCAAGATAGTTGTATTCTTAAAAAAAAAAAAAACTTGCGTTTTAATTGTTTGAAAGCAAAAACAGAGTTGGGTCTAGAGAATTTGAGAAATAATAGAGAATTAGCTGTGCTTAGGAAGCTACCTACTTAAGTAAAGTTTTGTTTGTTTGTTTTAATAGCTGTGAAGGTATAGATATAAAAACTAGACATCTCTGAACCAACGTATTTGAGTTGATGATTTTATAGTGGCTGAGGTTTTATATTTCTGTAGATAGAATGCAAACAACTTGATGTGGATTCTAAAACATAAAAGAAAACTGCTCGCTCTTAACTTTGCTTTAGCTTGCTGTGTGACCTTGGGGAAGCCACTTAATCTTCCTGAACTTTGGCTCCCTTATCTTTGAAGTGACTGAGTTGAGCTAAATGGTTTCTAAATCCCTTACAGCTCTTAAATCCATGAATCTAGCCTGCTGCTGGATTTGGTACATGGGAAGGCTGCAGATGTGACTACATAATAACTTCATGTGCAGAATTTCCCAAGTTTATTTTCTATCCAATTTCCAACACTTAAACACTTAGATTTTACTTTTACTCTTAAGTACTTACTAGTATCACAAAGTACTTAGTTACAGAAGTGCTTTGTACATTATTTAGTGTATATATTGCTTTTATAATTTTTTAAGTTTATGGATACCTAAATATTTACCATATGTTACATAGTTATTATTTGGGTGGAACTTTGGTCATATGCTAGTTAAGTGTACTAATTCAATTGAAAATTTGAAAACAATTTTTATATTTAAATTATAGAAGGCCGTTGTAAGCCATGAGATGGGTCTGTGATCTTTAGGCTACTGAAATTCATTATGTTTTTCTTTAGAGGTAAAACATGAAGTCGATGATTGTGATTTGTTTCAGTACTTGAATTTTATTATTATTTTTGTCCATCTCTGAAGTAAAGTGAGCTTTAAAATAAAACTTAGCTGTTGCCAGAGAATAAGTAGATTTACTTTTCTAGTTGTCCTTTACATTATTTTGACCTGCCTTTGACTCATAACAGTACTGAGCCAGGTCTTTATTACTAGAGGAGGGTTCATCAACTAAAATAAATATTTAGAGTTCTTGTGTCAAGTAGCACTGCTTCCTAGAGTACCAGAATCTTCCCTCATTTTAGTTTACATTGACGTTTTGATTTCTGGTTGGCTTGGTTAGGTTTTGAGCCTGTGGTGATAGAGAACGTTTTAGAAGGTGACGAGCTGCGCACAGACCTGGAAGCAGTGGAGGCTAAAGTCCAGGAACTTGGGCCTGATTACGTTCTGTGTGTTCATTCGACTACATCCTGTTTTGCTCCAAGGGTGCCTGATAGGTAAATGATTTGTGAATATTGTCCTTTAGGTGTTCATCAGTCTTTTAAATAAAATTCGGATATACTAATTCTCAAATATGCTTAAGTAACATTTGACAGTAAATAGGTGAATGGACTCTTCTAAGAGAATAGATTGACCTTGTGGAGAAATAGCGTAATGACTTGGGAAAATAAAAATTTGGTCTAGAAGAAGGAAAAACAACTAGTACCAAGTGGAGATCCCTTTATCACCTAAGCAGATGCAGAGCATCTCTGTTTTCTTCCTTGTTTATTTTCTGTTTCTGATCTCCTAGCATCTTTTTCCTCATTATTTAATAGAAGTTTCTAAGCTAAATGTTGGATTTACTTGTTTTCAGTCCTATCTCCACTTCTTTGATCTTACAGTTAGTTTTCATATGTAGGCACTATCAATATTAACAGATATTAAATAGAAAATTTTAGGATTATTTACTGTCCTTTGAATTTTTTTTTAGTTGGAAGATTAACCCAGATGTACACTTCGGTATACACAGAGGTTGTCTTTGCATTTTGAGTAAAATGCAAATATTTAAGAAAATAAAAGCAAAAAGAAAAAAAGCAAATGTTTGCTTTTCTAAGAGATGGCTTCAAATTTTCATTCTGAAAATGCAGTAGGCTTAGGTCTAGTAATAGAGATGTTTAGTTTTGACAGCAACTCTGTTTCATTTTAACATTTTGAACAGAAGTGCTAATAACTTGTAAAAACTATATTGACGTTGGACTTTTCTTGTAGCATTAAGTTATATTTTGGTTTTAATTCATGGAAACACGTAATTTGACAGTAGTGAATGCATGTTAGCTTTTATTTTCTTATAGGCAGATTTTAAGAGACAATTTTAAAACCATGCTCTTGAAAAGTTGCCTTGCTTCATTCATGAATCTTTGAATTCTGTGTTAAGTTTATATTGTGTATGCTTTAGTTGTTTATTCATTACTTACTAATCAGATTTTAAATTTGTATTGAAATATTAAATAAACATCTCTATAGTTTGTTCATGATGGTTTTGATATCTAGAAAATTTTAATGTGATAGAAATAAATCACATTTCCAAAAACAGCATGTGGATATTTATATTAGTTAGATTATTTATCCTTGAGGACAGTTTTGTTTTTGTTTCATTTTGACTAACTTTTTTTGAATGTTTACAGTATACCTGGTACAGTGTTAAGTATTTTACATGTATTATCTCCTTTGGGAAAAAATCATAAAATTTTTATCAATCGGCAAAATTCTTATGTGCCACTTTTTGGTGGTGTTATGTAATGAATGTTTCTGATAAGAGTGAACTTTAGGAAAATGGTGATGTACAGTTGTTAGTAATATTTTTGAATTTTTGATTTTATTAAATTTGAAATACATTTTGATATCGTTACATTAAGCTTAATTCCTTTATAGTCTTAATTTGAATGGATATATATATATTTGTCTTTGTTAATTAATTGGACAGAGTATTGTGGGGCAAAATCAGTCAAAGGTAATGTTAAACAAAAGAAAGGTATCATTTCTTCTGATAAACACCTTAAATTGGTTTCTAAGTTAGAATACAGTTTGATTCACATGGAAGGTATTTTTTCTGCCTCTCCTTGGCCTTTCATTGAATACATTTATATACACTCTAAATATTAGCAGATTAGATCAGTTCAGAATATTTTGAACTACTCGCAAGTGATATATTTTTTTTTCCTTTTTAAAATAGTACTTTATATTATTATGGTGCCTTACTTTCAGGGAAGTTTTTTTCTAAAGAATACTTTCATTAGAACACAAACATGTGAAAGTGCCTTTTACCTTATGAAGAAAACAATTGTGTGTATCCCAGAAGGTCTATTTTGTTAAAAACATTTGATTAGTTTAAGTAACAGACAGGTTTTCTGTGTCGATTTTGAGGTTAATGAAAATAAATGATAGAATGAGTTTTAACTTATAAAACTTTAAGAAAGCAAATCGAAAACTTCTGACAGATGAACAGAATGTTATTCCTATTTGTAGTTTAAAAACATTAATGCACATATGCTAGAAAAAGAATATGTATTCATAAATAGATAATAAAACTAATATATATTTGAAAAACATCTTTGTAGAAAAGAACTTTTATTGTATAAAAATGCTTTGCTTCTAAACTATATTATAGAAAGAAAATTTTTTAAAAATTAGTTTTATTAAATCACAGGATTTAGTTTTCGCTTCATGGTTGCAAGACATTTCTGTTAGAGATGACCTCAGTCACAAGTAGCGTTTAGTTTTGTGAAGAAACATCTACAGTCATGCGCTGCATAACGATGTTTCGGTCAGTGATAGACCGCATATACAATGGTGGTCCCATAAGATTAGTACTGTAGAGCCTAGGTGTGTTGTAGGCTAAGCCATCTAGGTTTGTGTAAGTACACTCTATGATGTTCTCACATCAACAAAGTCACATAATGACGCATTGCTCAGAACGTAACTCCGTTGTTAAGGGACTCGTGACTGTATTTATTATGCTCTAATTGGAAATGTATTACCCTACTTTGCATAAAGTTAGACTTTCAAGTTGCCTTAATATGGGGAATGTCAAATGAAAAAGTAAGACTGAATTTAAAACCAGCAGCTATAAAAGATTCTTTAGTATCCAAGTTGTTGGAAAATGTCAGTTATTTTGGTATAGAGACATTTTAATGTTCTGTATTTTTTAATACATTAAAGTCTGTTTGAAAATGTATTTTTTTACTTTATGAGATGTTTAATGTGATATTTCTTAAGATTTCAAGATATGCTATTTATTTTGCAGATATTAGCTTTAGTATGATAAGCAATCAAAAGCTTTTAAAAATGAGCATACCACCTTGTAAGGGGTCATTATAAATAATCTGCTTCTTGCTTTACATATAGGAAATTTTAAAGTGATTTAAAAGCTACCATCTATATAGATTTTTATAAATACATATTTTCTTATTTATTGGTAGCATTAATTTAAAAGTTTTTTAGGTTTATTCTAAAGTGCCTGTTATGTATTTCTAAGTTGCCAAAATTATATGCTAAAATATTGCAGAAGTTTCAGTTTTGTCATTTTTTTCCTGGTGTACATTAAGGATAGCTATTAAAAAAAAGTTTTCACACTGTAATTTATAAAAGCACAGTATGAATATGTCTTTCTCTCGAATATTTATGTTTGTAGATTAGAAGAACTGGCTGTGATTTGTGCTAATTATGGCATTCCACACATAGTCAACAATGCTTATGGACTGCAGTCTTCAAAGTGTATGCACCTCATTCAGCAGGTAAGAGAGTTTAAAAAGAGATGTCAAGAAAAAATAGATGTTAACATATTACAGGATTGTTACTTTTTTTTTCTTATAACCTAATACAATAAAGACAGTTATCTAGCACCCTCTACTTCATGGAGCATTAGAAGTTTGCACCCAGTATTCACTCAGTAAAAGTAATTATTCTTTGGTAGTATGGTGGTAGTTGGACTAGTAGCTTTGGTCAGAATCAACATAGAAATACTTCAGTAGTTTAGTTTTTAACTTTCTGAGAATGTTTCATTACCAGTATTCTCATTTTTCTAATGTACTAGATTATAGTACATTATGTAAATTTTTATGTAGATGTAGATTATATAGATTTTTAAAACTGTATTGATGATTTGTTTTATATTTAATATTGAAGGACTCACTCTACCTTATTATCCTAGACTGGAAATGACTTCATTTATAAACATTCTAGCATGTAACTATGGAGTTGGTAGGTTTTTAGAAATTTTATGATTTTGTTTTATTTTTATAAGCATCAACTAGATCTGGTCATCTGTTTTAAATTCTTATTTTGAAAATATGCTGGTACTTTCCATCCTACTCAGAATGAGAGTCACAGCCATAGTCTGCAAGGCTTTGTGTATTCAGGTCTCTGCAGCTTCTCTGATTTCATTTCCTGGCGCTCTCCCTCTCACCTGCTATCTCCCGGCACACTTGTCTTCTCTCTGTTCCTCCATTGTGCCACATGTGCCACACCCCGGGCTTTTGCTCTCGCTCACCCCTCTCCCTGGTTGCTCTTCCAGAGAGTTGGGTGGCTTCTTACGTCACTTTCTTTAGGTCAATGAGACTTTCTCAGACACCCTATCTAAATAACACCTCCCTCTTCCTTGCCACCATTTTCTTATCCCTCTTTTCCTGTTTTACCATATCCATTGATTTTAAGGTGCACATTTTTCTACATTATAATGTCTCTGGAATTGGGATGTCTCACAATCATTGGTATCATATAACATTACTTGGCAATGTTTTTTCTTACCTAGTGGTATGTTACATAATGTTGCTTCTTAAAATTGACGGCCTCTTGCTCTTTTTCTCCATAGCACTTATTACCTCTTCATAGGTTAGGACACTACCTGGTACATAATTGACTCTTAATAACCAGTTACTGAAAAAAGTGAATGGATAAATGAAGTATTATATTTACTTATAATGATTAATTATTCATACTGTATTAGGATATGGATAGATATCATCCACATATGAGTTATATAATTTGTGTGCATAATGATGTTAATCACATATTCGGTTTTGACATACATGTGATTGTGTTATGTGGACATAAGTTATTCACGGATTATCTGTGGCTTTCTCCAGCACAGTGGTGAGTGCTCCTTAGCCCAGTAGATCCTAACTAGTAAATTATTTTGTTTTATATCATTTTGAGTGCACTAATATCATCTCTAATATAAATGTGGTTTATATGAGATAGTAATAGCTGATTTGCTTAATTTCTTTACTCAGAGATTGTACCAGTTAGGATGTAATTGGCTGCAAGTAGTGGGAACCCAAGGCAAATTGGCTCCAACAAGGGAAGAAATAGATTTGTTTACATAACATAAGAAGTCTAGGGGTGGAGTGGGTTGTAGGCATGGTATATCAGGGTTTCTTAAAATCTTTGGAGGAAGACCATTTAGCATTTTCTTGATATCCTTTTCTATTATTCCTTAACTTTTTAAGGCTTCATCACAATTCTAAACTAGATTATGTCTAATTTGAATGGTAGCAGAGGAAAGTTGTACAATTCACTATGCTGGAAATCTTGAAAAACATTTTATTTCAGTGATCCATTTTTATTCCTTCTCCTCCTTTTCTTTTTCTCCTTCTCCTCTTTAATTTTTGCAGCCTCAATTCATTTAAAAGTCAAATACATCAGCATTACTGAAAGTTTAGAAAAATGAAGAAAGAGTCAAAGATCTTTCATAACCCTATTACCCTAACAAATACCCTTACTAATTGATGTATCTACTTTTTTCTCTTTTTATATACATTGCTTTTTACATGTTAATAGTCATTGTGTATATTTAATGTTAACGTCTTTAAACTTAGTGAAAAAAATAGATATAATTTTTAAACTAGATTATATTTCTTTACTCTCTACATGCCTACAGAGTTTTCATAATGATCATTTTAATAGTTCCTTAACATTTACTCATATATTATGTACTTAACCCAGAAGTGCTCAGTGTTTTAGTGCTCTCGATGTTATCTTTGAATACTAGAAATTTGGTGGCGTACTTGAAGAGATTAAGACTAAAAGAAAATGAGCTCCAAGATACAGTATGAAAGGTGCCCTTGGAGTTGTACATCACAAATACCCTGCTTTTTCATTACCTCTATTCATTTGTGAGGTGGTTTCACTAAATTTTTAACCAGAAAATAACACTATAAGATGGGTGAATGAATTTTTTAAATCTAGCTATTGTATTATTGCAGATACTGTATTACTTTGTAAAATTGACATTTCTTAAAAAAAAAAAGCAGTAGATAAACATTCTAATTTTCCCAAATTGGCCTTCACAAAGAAAGGTGGTGTCACTTTTAAAGGTGGTGCTTTAAACCGAATAAAGACTTGAGTCTCATGGAGTGCTATTTGCTGTTTCATGACATTCTAAAAAATTCAAGTTAACTTTAGTTCATCTCAGTAGTTCTTATTAGTAATAAATACTACTTACTGAGTACCCACCGTGTGTCAGGCATCCTGCTAGACTTTTAAAGTTTATTAATTTAATTCTAACAATTTAAGGTATCCTTCCATTCTACAAATGAGGAAACAAACTCAGTGGGATTAAGTGACTTGCCCAAGTTCCCAAGCTACAGAATGGCCCGTCTAGTTCAGTGTGGCTCCAGAGCCCCATATTTTTGTCGAAAAAAACAAAGTACTAAAACTGCAAATACTTTCTTGAGAGGGTAGTATTGTTAATAATCAAGCAATTGGTGAAGAAAGAGCTGTTACTAAAATGTTTCAGAATTCTTTTTTTTTTTTTTTTGTGAGGAAGATCAGCCCTGTGCTAACATCCGCCAATCCTCTTTTTTTGCTGAGGAAGACTGGCCCTGGGCCAATATCCGTGCTCATCCTCCTCCACTTTATATGGGACGCCACCACAGCATGGCTTGCCAAGTGGTGCGTCGATGCGTGCCCAGGATCCGAACCGGCGAACCCCGGGCTTCCGCAGCGGAGCACGCGCACTTAACCGCTTGTGTCACCGGGTCAGACCCCAGAATTCTTTTTTTTTAAGGGTGATGACCCAGAATGACTTAATTCTAAGCATATGGAACATTCTAGTATGCACATGTACTCCCCAGGAAGTGAGCTTTGAAGAACCTGTACTTCTGTTTATATACTAAACTGACTAATTTAGGAGACTCCTGAAATATGGATGTTACGAAAGATTAACGGAGGGGGATATGGTAGAGTTACAAAAATACGTGGGATTAATTATTTATATATTTAATATAAAAGAATGGGTTGTAAAGCTTCAAAGTGTGGGAAGCAGCAACTTTGCTTATTAAGAATTTGAGAGACGTAGGTGTTAATACTACTTATTCACAGACTTAATTGTCAATTCGTTCAACAAATATTTAGAGTTCCCACTGATGTGCCAGGCACCAGGCTAGGTGCTGGGGATACAGTAGTGAATAAAACAAAATCCTATCCTCCTGGAGCAGAAGCAGGCAGTAAACAATGTATATGACTGGTGTTGATTAACACTCTTGAATTTCGGGGGGTGGGGTGTCAGATTAGATGGAGTGATCCGGGAAGGCCTCTCCAAGAAGTAACATTTGAGCAGAGCCCTGAATATGATGTGAAGGAGTGAGCCGTGCAGCTCTCTAGAGAGATTCCAGACAGAAGGTACAGCAGGCGCCAAGACTGTGAGGCAGGGGTGTGCTTGGAATGTGTGAGGAATAACAGGGAGGCCGGTGTGGCTAGACCAGGGCGATGAGGGCAGCAGTGGTAGTAAAGAGACTTGACATGTGTTAAGGATTTGGGATATTATTGTTGATGTGATTGTTAGCCATTGGAGGGTTTTGAGCAAGAGAGTGACATGTGATTTACATTTTTTTTTTTTTTTTTGTGAGGGAGATCAGCCCTGAGCTAACATCCGTGCTAATCCTCCTCTTTTTGCTGAGGAAGACCGGCTCTGAGCTAACATCTATTGCCAATTCTCCTCCTTTTTTTTCCCCCAAAGCCCCAGTAGATAGTTGTATGTCATAGTTGCACATCCTTCTAGTTGCTGTATGTGGGACACGGCCTCAGCATGGCCGGAGAAGCGGTGCGTCGGTGCACGCCCAGGATCCGAACCCGGGCCGCCAGTAGCGGAGCACGAGCACTTAACCGCTAAGCCACCGGGCCAGCCCGTGATTTACATTTTTAAACCGTCATTCTGGCTGCTCTGTGGGGAATAGACTGTAGGAAGGCAAGAGTGGAAGGCTGCTGCAGCAGCCCATGTAAAATATGTTGGTGGTTTGGGCCAGGGTGGTGGTTGTGAAGGTGGTAAGAATTGGTTGGATTCAGATATATTTTGAGAGTGGATCTTATGGAGTATGCTGATAAGGGAAAAATGAGAATTCAGAGACTCCGAGGCTTTTGGCCTGAGTAGCTGGAAGAACAGAAATGCCGTAGGAATGGTATTTTATCTTTTAAACATGAGCTCTTCGTTCAGATTACCTCGGTGTTAGTCCTTGCTGTGTCATTGATTGCCTGAGTGACCTTCTATAAGGGGCTTTCACTGCCTGGACTTGAATCCCAGCTGTGTTGTTGACTACATTTCTGAGCTTTGGCAGGTCACTTTAATTTCATTGTGCCTTAATTTTCTCATCTGTAAAGTGACTGTTATACCAGCATCTACCTCATATGGTTATTGTGAGGGTTAAAAGAGTTAAGAGTGTAAAGTGCTTAAAACAGTGCCTGGTGCATAGTAAGTTCTCAGTAAATTCTGGCAGTAATTATTACGTGAACAGTTACCCGTATTATTCACTGCCGCTATCCCCAGAACCTAGAACAATGTTGGAGAGATGATAAGTGCCCAAATATTTGTTCTATGAATAAATGAGTAAATGAATGAACTGGTAAATGGCAACCCTTTACTTCATAGAACATGCTGCTATGTTTCCTATTCTATTTAAGCCCTTCCATCCTTCTAGTGTTTTTGTCCTCTTCATTGATAGCCTCTGACTTCAGTGTGGGGAATGAGGTCATACACCATTCCTGAAATTGGGTCCAGCCTGTGTGTTCTCTTGCCACCAAGTGTGCTGCCCTTTTGGTGCTTTCTGTGCTTTAGTGATGAAGGGTTCTAGCAAAGTCGGTGCACTGGTTGTTCTCTTAGTACTCTTGCTCCCAATTTAGGTTCAGGTCTCTCTCACGAAGCCTTGGACAGTACTTAAATGTTAGTAAAAAGGCAACTCGCACTGTTCCACTTTATTTTTACGTGCTACTACTTGGCATGTTTTTCATTTATTTATTCTGTTAGTCTTATATGCTTCTCTTTATTTTCCTGTGATATGGTGAGATTTTTTCTGATCATAGTTTATGAGGAAATCAGAAAGAAGAGTAATGGGAAGGTTAAGATTTAACCATCATGTGATAGCCTCGGAGTAGTTGGCTCCCCTTCTCTGCTTTTGCTGCTTCTACCTGTTACCTGGGTCTGGTCTCTTAGATTAGGCCAGCTATCTGCTCCTTCTATTCTCCCTGAGATACAGATGTGGAAAGAAAGTGTGAAGATGAAGGTCAAATGTGCTTATAATATTAATAGGAATGTAGATTGTGAATACAGATTGAAAATCTGTGGCTGCAGATAAAGAAAAAAACCATCTTAGTTGAAATTTAGATAGTATCTTTTTAAGAGGAGAAAATTGAAGCACATTAGACAGAAGGTCATAGACTGTGTTGGAGGGGGACTAGAACCTAGTTTTACATTTCTAGTAAGTATTCAGTTTTTCACCATAATCTTAAGTTTTCACTTGAAGTTCATTTGCAGTGGAATGAGATCATCTAAGATTATAACATTAGGAACCATGAGTTATGTAGAAACATTGCCAAGAGTATACAAAAAAAATTTCCATTAGTTGATATTAGAAATAAAATTTTTCTTTTCTCTTTTGTTATCTGAGTGGTGATAGGAGGAGAGCTTATTGCTTAAAGTGGTCGTGCAGGTAGTAGATTATCCAGGCATGAAAGAGAGGCACTTACTTGTATAACTAATTGATTGGCAGCGTGGGTGGCTACAGTTCATTAGATTATGGTGGCCGCTCTTGAACTCACAGAGGGTGTTTAAGATTACTTAGTACTTGTAGGACCCACTGTGACATTTATTGTCAAATAGAAGATCACAGTTGAGAGGCATAGGAGGAATCCACTCTTAGCCAATTTTAAGGTGAAAAGCTGTGTTTCAGTATAGTTCCCACTTGAACTCACCCTGAAACCCTGCCTTCCTCAAAGGGTTGTTGTGAGGATGAAATGATCTGTGTGTGAAAGCGGGTTGTAAACTATAAAGTGCTCTTCCACAAATAAGGAGCAGCATTTAAAAACTCAGTTTAATATTTTATTGGCACTGTTACAAACAAAATAAAAATCTTTGATCTGTTCTTTATTTCCATACACAGTTTTAATGGTATTTATTTGTTAATAGCAGTTGTTGTCTGTTCTTCTAGAAACCAATATGTAATATACTACATGTTGTTTCGTTCTAGGGTTCTCGGGGTGGTAGAATAGACGCTTTTGTCCAGAGCTTGGATAAAAATTTTATGGTTCCAGTAGGTGGCGCTATAATTGCTGGCTTTAATGATTCCTTCATTCAGGAAATCAGCAAGATGTATCCAGGTAAATAGATCAGTTGATCTTCAAAAAAAGTAACTAAGAAACAAAAATCCATTTGTACTTAGGCTACTGTAATAAATCTTAATTTCCGAAGCTTTTTTTCCCTCTGGGATGTAACTTGTTCATCCTTATTTCAGGAAGAGCTTCAGCTTCACCTTCTTTAGATGTCCTTATTACGTTATTGTCACTTGGATCAAATGGCTATAAGAAGCTATTAAAAGAAAGAAAGGTAAGCTTTCCCTTTAGGTGTAAAATAATACACTTGACTGAAACAGTACTCCCAATTATTGGTGTTTTTGCCCGTTGGTTTGTCACTTTGGGAGTACAGATATCTAGTATGGTCCTAGGGGATGTGCTTTGATCTGGAACCACCCTAGGTGGTTTTCAGTTCATCATTGTCATCCTGTCTATCCGGATATTCTCAGGAATCTTGGACAGGTGATTTTTGGTTTTTTGAGAAATTCCTGCATCAGGGATTCTTATTAGTTCAGTAAAATTCAATTCATTTATCACTTAGAGATTCTTAAAGGACAGATGGACAAGTTTTTGCTTTTTAGTTTTTGGAACTCTGAAGACTTGTTTAGGTGTGAGATGTCAGTCACAGGAGGAAGAACCAGGTCAGAAGTTGGCCGGCTATTCATTCTAAAATAGTAAATCCATCCCTTGCCATTATTGGAATGCTGAACTCATTGCTTATGTTGGCTATGAAAAGTGACATTCGTGCTTGAAAAATTGGACTTTGTCCCCAATGCTAAAAGCTAGCTTAATTCAAGACAATTCCAAAATTGTATTCAGAGACAGTGTTGGCAGGGCAGGTCAGACTAAGATGTTTTATTCATTTCCTGCTTGGGAGAGCTAGAGGCCCCTGGTGTAGTTTTTGTATCTGTATGTCTTTCTAACACTTAGTAGCAATATTAATTGCTTAGATTTTAAAATAGTTCTTTACATATTTTAAAGTATTTTCATATATATTAATCTGACAGATTCTCTTAACAGCCTTATGAGTAAGTAATAGAAGTTTAAAAATGTTTGTGCTCTATTTTACCCTAGTCCTGCTCCCCCCGCTAATTCAGTCCATAGGAAAGTATTTGTTTACTTTTTATTGTGAGGATATCTCAAGATTTACATGATACAGGAAAAGATGTTCAACATCAATCATTAGGGAAATGCAAATTAAAACCACAAGAAGATACCACTACACACCTAGGCGAAGGGCTAATATTAAAAAAAACTGACCATGCTAAATGCTGACAAAGATCTCAGGCGGGTAGAACTCTGAGACATTGCTGTTAGGAAGACAAAATGGTATAGCAACTTTGGAAAACACTTTGACAGTTTCTTACAAAGTTAAGCATATACTTACCATATAAACTAGCTGTCCCACTCCTAGCTATTTACTCAAGAGAAATAAAAATTTATGTCTGTACAGAAACCTATACATGAATGTTTATAGTGATTTTATCCATAATTACCAAACCGTGGATACAACTCAAATGTCCGTCATCTGGTGTATAAACAAACTGTGGTACATACATACTCAGCAATAAAAAGAAACAAACTACTGATATTTGCAGCAACTCTCAAATGCATTTGAGAGTCATTATTGACTCTCCAAATGCATTATGCTAAATGAAATAAGCTAGACTCAAAAGGCTACATATTCTATGATTTTATTTATATGCCATCCTGGAAAAGGCAAAAAATATCAGGAAAGGAAAAAGATCAGTGGTTGTCAGAGGCTCAGGTCGGGGAGGGGACTAGTGGGGTGGTGAAATGTTCTGTATCTTGAGAATGGGAGTAGTTTCATGACTGTATATGTTTGTCAAAATTCATAGAAGTGGACACCTAAAGAGCAGACATCTGAAATTTTACTATATGTAAATTATGCCTCAATAAACCAGACAAAAAATTTTTAAATGATTAGAATAAGACTCCAGTTTGGTAAACTCCAAAAAGTAATCATCGTGGTCATAGATTGTTAAAGCCAAGAGAAGACCTCAGCAAATCTTTCAAGGAACCTACTCCATATGACAGATGAAGACTGTTTATAGATGAGGAAGACTGTCATCTGTTTATATGACAGTTTAATTGTATCAGGTGCCAGTGGATCTTAGCTCTCCTGTAAGTAGTTGTTTCAATATAGGAAAGATATTTGAACTCACAGATTTTATGTTAGGTGAGTGTTGCTGTTATCCTTTTCATGGGAAATGGAGGGATAGAGAAGTAACATGTATGAGGTAAATTGAGGGACATAGATTTAAATCTAGGCAATTGGGCCTCTGATCCTCTATCTTGATCTCTAAACTCTACTGTTTTTTTTCTTTTATGGATACATAATCTTGCCTGGTAGCTATGTAGCTATCTTATATAGCTATAAATCTGAAGACTTAGGTCTGCTAATATCCAAAGGAGGCAAAAACAGTGAATAGATTTAGCTACCCTGGCCAAAAAAGCTCTGTTATATTTTAGAGAGGATATAAGCTACTGGCTTGTGCAGAAATCACTGTTGTTGGGGAGCTGCCTCTCCCCGACTCCACATGGTCCTGGTAGACTGTCAATCGCAGTGGCCCGTCCTCCTTTTTCAGGGTGGGCATATGATCTGGCTAGCCTGGTTTACATGTAGGCATGTGGAAACAAAGTCCTTCCAGCAGATTTGATAGATCGTTTAGAGATAGAGGTTCTGTTAATTTGCAGATAGTAAACTGTGAGGATGAGCGTTACGAAAGGACAAGCAGAATGTATGAGAGCATGTGTCGCCTAACCCAGCTGGGGCACCTACCCCAATTCTGGGAGGGTCAGGGAAGGCCTCCCCGAGGAAGTGACGTCTAGAGCACTTCATAAAATTTGCTTTCCTTTAGGATAGATTCAGGTTCAGTAAGTCTGGAGTGGCGCTCAGACAACTGCGTTTTTAAGAAACCTCCCTGATGAATCTCATGCACACCCAAGTTTGAAACCCATTGTTTTGGGGCACACAAATCACTTGTATCTGTAACAGAAACTTGTAGAGGAAAGATATGTTATAGCATTTTAATATTTTACATAGGTAGATAATATTTTATGGAGTTTGAAATGGACTGCATAAATATCCCAAATATCAAAGCTTGAAAATATAATGTGTTGTCTATTTATTTCTGATCTTTTTAGTTGTCATAGTTATAGTCTTTACTTATATTGTAGCTGCTTTTTAGATTATATTGATCACTCTGCAGTTTGGGGTAAAAAATTCATTTTTAAACTAAATAAATGGAATATTTAATAGCTCTGACCATAAGGCTATTACACAAAGTTTTAAATTAGACATTTAAAGAGTGTACTTTATTATAGAGAGAGACTTTAAAAATTTTTATGTACTGTTATTATATCAAACAAGCATACTAGTATTTCCTGTTTTTGTTCTTCTTGAATTGAAACTGTAAATAATAATAGCTAATAATATTAAATATTTGCTATAATAAACTAATACAAGTCTTGAGTGATTTTGTAGTTAAAGTAATTTAACTAACAAAAGTAAATGGATTATTTGAGTGTACGCCCCTAAAAAGTTACCATCAGGTGTCTGAAATGAAACTTGGTTCTTGATTATGGGTAGTCTAGTAGACTAGTGTCCACCTTGGAGTTTGCCATTGATCCCTCTCTTCTTAGTGTCCTTTGCTTGATATATGCTAGATGCTCATCAGATGTTTGTTGAATGAACTAGGGGAACATATAGGTTCAGTGTTGTATAGTCATCTCTTGTTTTACACAGAAGAAGTATCTTTGTGGAAATTAGTCAGAAAGCAAATAATATTTTGATACTGACTTCCATTATGAATTAGATGTTCTTATAGAACTATTTCCCTATATGGATATAGTTGAAAACTTGTGAAAAGGAATGAGTTAAAATGGTGATTACCAGTTGTGTATAACAAGAACTATGCTTCTGGGAGTAGGACCTCCTCCCTAGCAGGTACTTCTCTTCCAAAGCACTTTTCTTACGTTAGGATTTTGGAGTTGTTGATTTCATGGGTGTTTGTTTATCTTTTTGGAATCTAAGATTTTCTGTTATGCCATGGTTGTTCTGACTTGACTTTTAGGGTGTGACTTTAAAATTTCCAGCTATTTTTAGATGATTCCAAAGGTACATGCGTGTGTACATTTTGCTTAGCATGGATGAAAATCCAGCTGCTTTGAGAATGACCTGCAGGAATATGTAGGTCACCTGGTGAATGGATCCAACAGATAACCCAGCTCTGCTTTTCATTTGGGACTTATTCTTTGTTAATCATTGGATAAATATTTTATGGGAGAAATTTTATGTTCTAGTGATGTTTGTGAATTGGATGGCTCCATCTCAGATGTCAAGAGGTAACTCTCTTTGTAACATCCAGAACTTTGTTCTTTTCCTTTTATCTAGGTAGAGTAGAGTGGAATAAACAGGGACAGGACAAGAATAGGATTCTAGCTACAGGGTATTAGCATGTGTCTATAGGAGTCCTGCTAGCTAGTGTTAGTTACTGTAACCTGAAAACTCTTTTAGGCTAAGGGAAAAGTAGGTGCGTGGGGAACTAACCCTTTTAGGAATGTCTGTTGTATGTCAGGAACTCTGCTAGGTTCTTTATGTTCATTATTTCATGTACTACTCAGAGCAAGTTTATGAGGTAGGTATTATCTTCACTTTACAGATGAAATTGAGGCTTGGAGAAGTTAAGTACTTACCCAGAGTCCACATATAAGTGCTAGACTGCCATTGAAACCCAGGTCTGTGTGATGCTGAAGCCTCTGTCTTACCACGCTCTTCTCACTGCCTCCAGTCGCTCATCCAGCATTGAGGGACTGCTGGCCCGTTCGGTGCTTAGCATTTGAACCATAAAAATGATCTCGTGACCCCATATTTTTATTTAGTGGAGGCGTGTAAAACCCCAAAGGCTCTAATGTATTAATTGGTTTTATTTAAAATTCTTTGTATAGAATTTACTTAGAACAGAGGCTATCTGTAGTGGTAATCTTCCAAGTATTAAAAAGCTCATTTGAGAATTCTGTCATTGTAAGTGAATAAAAGTTTGCTCTTTAACAACTTCATTCAACAGGCAAGTCTTTGAAAAATGTGGGTGTCCTCCATAAACTATAATTGTGAATATGTAGCATGAATATTGTTTTTTTATTGGATTTGCTGCAGAAGTAAGGGACTCTTTTGTTTAAATGGACTTGCCTTTGAACTCTGGAAATTTAATCGTGATAGTTTATTGGTTCAGCTCTGGAGAAGCTGAGGTAAAGCCATTTTGCTCCAGCCAGAGCTATTTATATACCATCACTGAGAGCTCCTTTTTATATTTTCGGTGTTATTGTGTACTAAAAAAGGAGTGTTAAAAGAAAACTTAGGATTTGTTTTTATTCTGTGCCCTTATTCACCACAATGATATTTTTAGAGGTTATTTCATCTAGCTATATCTCTTCAGAAAAGGCTTTATCTTTTTCACAGTAGAGCAGACAAGAACTCAGCTTGAAGCCATTCCTTGTCAAGCCTTCTTTTTTGAAGGGTGAAAGGATCAGAGAGAGTGGAACTCTGTTTGTGAATTGAGCCTCTTTGCCCTTAGCCCCTTCCTGATCAACACATCTGCTTCATTGAGAGAGAAATGACCGTGAATTTAACTGAAGAGGCCTTTAAGAAAAGGGGTTAAAATTTAAGAGACTATTTCTTTGAGTTTTTTTATGCAAAAAGAAAGATCAGTCTTAGAAGTCTATCCTCACTTCTGTTTTGTTTCTGGAGAAAACCATTATTCTGCTTAGCTTTCCCTTTAGAAGAGTGCTTTGCTGCGCAGGGCAGGCAAGATAATCATTCATTGTTGCAAATATCTGCTGAGTTGGACAAGTGCAGAAGAGGAGTGACAGCCGAATGGCTGTTCCAGTGGCTGGAATTTGTTAGCTGAAGCTTGGAGGACAAACTAACTTCTAAAAGAACATCAGACATATAACTTCAAACGGTGTCTTATACAAAGCTAAGTTTGGAAACATTAGTAGATTTGCAGCCCTAAAAGTAGAGTAGTTGAATCTCAACAAAAACGTTGGGTTTCAGACCTGGATATGGGGCCTCAGCGGAAGAGTTTGAAAGCAGTGCTTTAGCCTGTGATGCAAGGACTGCCTGGATCCTTTCAGCTGGCCACAGTCATAGAGAGCAGCATATTGCCTTTAGTACTGTTATCTTCAAATATGGACATCTTTGTGCGTGGATACGTACCTACAGTCTGTTGTCCATCCACCATTTCATGTTATCATTGAAATATTAGACTACTTATGTTTCTCTTTTGACTTATTACCTACCTTATGAGACATATTGTAATAATATGTGAAGTTCTAGTTTTATCTCATCCTATAACATGAAACAGTATGTTTCAAAAAAGCATGATTACGTAAGACCTTTTTCTTTAAAATTTAGTGAATTATGCATGTCATTGGGTTATGGGGAGGGATAGGCTAAATGTTGGGCTTCATGACTGCAAATCAATTTGCAAGAGGCCGTATGAAAGATAATGCTTAATGTAATTCAATTTCTCTTCCATTAACATCTTGAACTATGGTGTAAAGTTTTGTATTTTTATTCTGGAAATACAGCTGACATTAGCAATCAGGTATACAGTTCAGTTTATGTCTAGTGAAGAGTCTTAAAATTAAGTTAAATACAGCACAAAAGACATAGAAAATCAATAATATTTCATTTCTTTTAAGTAAGATCTTTCTATATACATTTGCTTGGGGTGCTTATAAATTTCTCCCTTTATAGAAGTATTTTATAATAAATGTCAGTTATAGATTTAACTGTAGCAAAAAAATAGTGCAAGTTCTGTAGTACCTTTAATATATCAGATAAAAAACTGCTTAGCTAAGTGTTAGTGTAGGAAATACTGGTACAGTCTCCTAAATGATATTTTTTAAATGTAGTGATATTAATGGGAGAGCATTTAGGACCTTAATGTGTACAATATTGGAGGATTCAGTATATTGTGCTTTAAGGTGCTTACCTGTCATAACCTCATAACCCTTTACACAGAGTGGAGATACTATACATATTTGCAGATGGATGTGAACTTGACTCACAAATATTTTCTTTTTTGTCTAATTACTCCCATACTAGTGATTTATGAGATTTAGTTACCTTAATATTATGTTTATAGTCTAAAGATTTTTATCCTAATATTTGCTGCAGTTAAAACTGAGTTCTAGTGCCATTGGTAAGTGATTGATAGAACTGGTTAAAACTAATGTGTTAAAGTATTAGAAATCGAACGCTGGGAAAATGTCAGTTTTTTAATAGCCATGGATGCATAAATAAATTTAAAAGCACCCACTAGGGGTGTTCCTAAGGAAACATTTCCTCTTTTTTGGAAATAGCTAAGTACAAATTTAGTAGTCTGTAAGTGTGACCACATTGGTGACTATGCTGGCAGCCATACTAGAGAAAATAGTATTTTAAATTGGTCCTCACCACTGAAGTAAGTTTTTTGTTGTTACTGTTGGGCAGAAAATGTAGGATTCTGTAAAAAGCATTTCTTGGCTATCAGATTTGTTTCTGCTTTTGAGAGGTTGATGAATTTGAGAGTAAGAGAGAATTAGACAGACAGATGCCGATTAAGACTTGGGTGTATAATATAAATGAAGAAAAATCAGCATCTAATATCTGAATTAAAATATGTGGCTGCTTTTTTCTTTTTTAAACAATACAGAGCATTTAAATTAGTGACCTAGTTACTTTATAATAGATAGAAATATATAAATGAAACCCAGGAATTTGACTCTTCATTAACACTGGTATGGTACTAAAAGATTGTGAATTGTTCTAGTTGCTGGAAAAACTCTTGATTTCTTTATTCCATTTAATTATCTTATTGTTTCACCTTCTAAAGTGAATATTGGAATATTAGTTTAAGGAGGAGGAGCCAGGAAATCTTTTTATGTCTAAGAAAAGATGCCTACAACAACTTTTTTTTTCTGTTTCTACAAGTGGTGATAAATAACATTTGCCTCTTTAAATATTTCTCCACACTTAATGACAAAAGAGAAAGGCTTATCACATGTAAAAGTAACATTTACTCGTAGCTTTATTAGGTTTGTTAAATGTGGGTGTTAACCCTGAATATAAAAAGAATCGATTTATTTTAGTGATCTAAGATTTCATAATTCTGACATGCTGAGAATTGATCTTATAAATTATCCTAAAAATTTGAGAATGACGATTTAAAATTTTTTCAGGTCAGAATATAAAATGTACTGTGTTGACAGGGTAAGAATGTTTGTGGTCTTAAGGAGATTCACTAATAATTCATAAACTTGGTAGGAATTTTCCTCCTCTCTTCATCTTGACTAACAGAAGGTGGAGTTAGTCATCTGTGTGCTTTAGACATGAAAAAGCTACTCTGGGTCCCAGTGTGAGATCAGACCTTACCTTAGAGAAGAATGAAGCAGCTTTTGTTGCCTTTGAAGTTGAAGAAGTATCATTTCCTGCTGTCTCCACTGGGGTACTCTGTTGGCCCTTGGCTCTTTGGTGTATCTTTAGCGTTTATATGTTTGACTATGGCTGGAGGAGGTCAGTGCAAAATGGGTTTATTCAGGGGCAGACTTATTTGGGCAGATTTTCATTTCAGCACTTTTTTTAAAGGGCTTACTAGGAGAAGAAAATACAACTTTAGGTCAACCAGTTGCCAACTTAATATATATTTGTGGGCCGGCCCTGTGGCTTAGCAGTTAAGTGCTCGTGCTCCACTGCTGGCGGCCTGGGTTCAGATCCCGGGCGCGCACCGACGCACCACTTCTCTGGCCATGCTGAGGCCGCGTACCACATACAGCAACCAGAAGGATGTGCAGCTGTGACATACAACCATGTACTGGGGCTTTGGGGGAAAAAAATAAATAAATAAAATTATAATATATATTTGTAACTTCATTAAACTCCCACTTATATACATATGTGCGTGAAATTTTATATTCGTAAAATATTTTTATTATATATACGTTGTTATTCAAATAAGATCAAGAGTCCAATTTTTAGTTTTTAGTTGCTATATTCTTTTAATTGAGTTAAAGAGTTTGTTAATTTTAAGTTTGTATGATTTAAAGGAAATACATTTTTAAACTACCTCTTCCTGAGTTACTTACATACTAGAAGCCTGGCACATTTTTCTTGGTGTTGGGAAAATAGTGGTAAAGAACACAATTCCCTGCTTTCAAGGAGTTTTTCCATTCTCGTAGGTCATCAGAGGCAGTGTTCATTTAATCGGGTAAATGAGATAGTTTCAGATTGTGGTAAGTACAGTGAAGGAACCAAAATAGGTAATGGTGTTGGAACGAGATTGAGAGTTGGGAGTGGGCCAAGTCGGAGAGCTGCTTTAAAGGGAGGTAATAAGGGTAATAAAATAAATAAATAATAAATAAGTAATAAAGTAAATAAAATAATTTAGTCTGTGACAAAAGGGACCATTCATGGAATGATCTGGGAGAAGAGCTTTCTGAGTGTGAAGGAAGCAGGCACAAAGGTTCTGATACTAGGATGAGCTGGCATGTTCAGCAGTTGGAAAGGAGGCTGATGTGGCTGGTGCCATAGTCATTCTGGGGAATGACAGTTGCTGAGTTGGGCCTGTTGGCTGGACCAGATCATGTGGGGCCTTATAGATGAAGAGTTTAGTTTTCTTATACTTACAGGAGGAAGTCATTGGGAGGAACGTGATGTGATTTTTGCTTTAGGAGACCACTCTGGCCTCTGTGTGTAGAACAGATTGTAGAGGGGTGGAAAAGTAGGCAGCGAAATCATTTAGAATTTATTTCTGTGGTCCAGGGAAGAGGTTGATGACTGCTTGGACTAGAACGGTAGCCCTGGAGGTCTGAAAAGAGAATGAAATTGTGGTAGATACATAGTCCCAAAGCAGGAAATTTGCTGGTTCTTGGCCTTCTTTGCCTAAATCCTGTGGTTTCTGATAATTATGGCAACTTTGAACCTTGCTATGTTGTGGTAAAGGAAAGAATTGCTCCTGGGGCACATGGATGAGTTAACTCACAGCACAGACTTCACACCTGTCAGATTTTGTCTTACTAAATCTGGCAAATTGCAGTAAGTATTTATTTGATTTTCTTTAAATGTAACATTTTGTTGTTGCAGGAAATGTTTTCATATCTGTCCAACCAACTAAAGAAGCTGTCAGAAGCCTACAATGAAAGACTGTTGCATACACCTCACAATCCCATATCTTTAGGTAATTTTTTCTTTTAAAAAAAAAATCAGTACTTCTGAACCATCCCCAGCAGGAAGCTGGTATTTCTAGAAACAGTATGAATTCTTTCTGGTTACAGTGATATTTCTAAATTCATTATAGTGTTAACTTATAAATTGAAAAAGTTTAGTTAGCCTTTAGAAATGCTTCAATGTATTTCTAAGATAAAACCTATATACGGAAAGAATCCAAATCAATATTAAGTATTATAGTGAATATAATGAATATACAGAAAATAATACTTTAACTCCTGCTTCTAACCAAAATAATTTGGTCACTAGTAAGAACTCTATATAAATGTGTAAAAATTTCTACCAGTTAACAAAACACCATAATATTAGAAATTAAAGCTATTCTTATATTGTTTTTAATGCTATTATTGTTTGTTTTCTTGACTGTCTCTACGTTAGAGATATCTGTATTTATGATAATTTCATTGGTTTGTAAAACGACTATGTATTTTTGTCCTGTAGTACAAGAGCTACTAAACAGGATAATATAAATGTTGACTTTATGCGTTTAACTAACTTTCAGGCTTCATACTGATCGCTTTTAATTTGTGAATAGATGTAGTATAACATGTTTCGTATTTCATCTATATCTGAGTAAAGTAAGGAAAGAGTCATTTGTAACTGAAGCCTTTTTCTGGAATGAGCTTCCATGGAAAACCATTTGGCCACCAGTTATATATAAAACCCACCCCAATCAGTCCCTTGCTGGTTTATAATCTATGTAGGTGTTATAGAAGGTGATATGGTATGGTTTGAATCTCAATTCCACCATGTACTAGCCTCTAACCTCCTTTTCCCTATCTTTAAAATAGGGATAATGATCCCTTCCCTGCAAAATTGTTTAACAGTGGTTGAGATATATTTGTAAAGTATCTATTAAGGTGAGTCAGTTCTCAGGAAATGGTAGCTCGTGGTGGTGGTATGAATAGAATATAGTTTACGCATATAACCTCAGAAAGATAATTTCCATTTCCATATGCAGAAGTTGATCTTACTTAGTTTTATATATGTGCTGAAATATATCCCACATTCTCATTTTATAAGTTCTTAAAACATGGTTGAATTTGAATAAACTGCCATATTGATCATCCCATTGTCCCATCTATTTAATTGGAAAATTCACTCTTTGGAAGGGTAATTTGGAAATTCTGTTCTAATTCTGAGTATGTTAATTTATATTAACATATTTTTTGATATGCAAACAAATCCTTACTATAATTTATTAAGTGCATTAAAGTGAAATCATACCACTTGACAATAAAAAGTAATGTCTCCATGAAATAAGCCAGTCACAGAAAGGCAAATACTATATGATTCCATTTACATGAGGCACTTAGAGTAGTCAAAATCCTAGAGACAGGAAGTAGAATGGTGGTTGCCAGGGGCTGTGAAGGGAGGGGAGAATAGGGAGTTATTTTTTAATAGACACAGAGTTTTAGTTTTACAAGATGAAAAGTTAGGGGGATGGATGCACAACAATGTGAATGAATTTAATACCACTGAACTGTACACTTAAAAATGGTTAGGATGGTAAATTTTATATGTATTTTAACAGAATAGTAAAAAAATTGATGTCCCCATCATTAAGTGTTTGTATTTTGAGTGATTTTTGTGCTGGTGAACCAAGGCTCATTAGGATACTTTTTTCTTTTTCAGCTATGACACTTAAGACACTAGATGAGCACTGTGACAAAGCTGTCACTCAGCTTGGCTCCATGCTTTTTACCAGACAGGTTTCTGGAGCCAGGTAAGTATGTTTAAAAGAGGCTTGGATTTATTTGGCTTTTCAAAGTTAACTCGAATCAAGTACCTTTCCTTAACAATAGTCCCCTAAGTACACTCTGACCTACACCTGAGAATTCATCAGGGAGTAAAAGAATGATGAGGTAGAGATCTGTAAGGCCATTCATTATATGCCCACCTGTGGACTGCCTACACTTGAAATAGTCACAGAAAGATATGAACAGTGTTTGTTTTAATAGACATACAGAAACAAAGTTTCATTACCTCTCTGTACAAATTTTTGTCTTTATTTTCCTTTGTTATATAATTTTCAGTAGTGTCACATGATGGAGTTAGAAATAAGTCATCTTCATTACTAAATTTAAGTGAAAATGTTTTTAACGAAAACACCATTTCTTAAACTAAAAAGATTATGCAATTTTTGTCTAAGTACTGCCTTTAAAAAATGTATCTTTTGCTCTTGTATGTACATGGCTTAAAAATGAATTTCATTTTTAATTTTATATTTAATAAGGTCAGAGAAAAATGACTTGAAAAGAAATATATTGCTCTAAATACTCTTCTTTACATGCTTCTATTAAAGAGTTTCTCTCTGCTAGAAGTTAGAGATTTCACATCAAAGGACAACTTTTTAAAAGAAAAAAATCTTAGATTAATTCAGCTTTTCCCTTGATGAACTATATCTGTTTACGGCGTAGTTTTGACACTTCTAAAATGGTTTTCTTGGCCTTGCTTTTAGTGTTGCCACTGTTTGTATGTTTAGGTTGATCTTAATTGACTTCTTTAAAAAAAAAAGTACCATTAGAAGTCTACTTATATCAAGGATGCCAGTGAAATCAAGCTTAAAAAACTCATGTGCCATTGCTGAATGTTACTGATTGCTGATGACCACCCTGCTCTAAGCAGTGACATAATTTCTGGATCTTTGCTTTAAAACCCTCCATTGCTTAGCACTGATCAGATAGGTGTAATTTTCCTTTGTTGATTATTTGAGATGATGCACAGCAATTAATTAAAGTGGTTTGACTTACAAATTTCAATATTCCATTAAAGTGTGTAGATGTGAAGTCAAATTCCATATTTGGTACAAAAACAGAAATAATTTTCTTTTTACCTCTTTGAAGAAGATGTAGAGGTGTTTGTGATTCCTAGAGCTTGTAGCTGTTTAATAGAAGAGGAGTAAACGGTAATCACCAGGCAATACTTTTTTATGTAAAATAGCAGTGTATTGTATAATTTTTATTGTAAGACTGACAGAGTCTGTTTTCATAGGCCATGATTTATAGCTTTTTTTTTTTTTTTGAGGAAGATTGGCCCTGAGCTAACATCTGTTGTCAATCTTCCTCTTTTTCTTTTTTCTCCCCAAAACCCCAGTACATAGTTGTATATCCTAGTTGTAGGTCCTTCTAGTTCTTCTGTGTGGGACGCCGCCTCACCATGGCTTGATGAACGGTGAGTAGGTCCGCGCCCAGGATCCAAACCAGCAAACCCGAGGCCGCCAAAGCGGAGCATGTGAACTTAACCGCTGTGCCACCGGGCCGGCTCTTTTTAAACTTCTTAATAAGTAAATGTAAGGCTTAGTAACACAGATATCTTTTGTTTATGGTGATATTCTGTTAACATCACCAGACATATTAAATTGGTAAATCTTTTCTCTTTCAGGGTTGTGCCTCATGGGTCTGTGCAAACTGTGAGTGGCTACACTTTCAGAGGCTTTATGTCACATACAAATAATTACCCTTGTGCTTACCTCAATGCTGCATCAGCCATTGGAATGAAGACACAGGATGTGGACTTGTTCATAAAGAGACTTGACAAGTGTTTAAAGACAGTAAGAAAAGAACAAAATAAAGAGAGTGATGTATTGGGAGTTGACAATTATGACAAAACTGAAGATGTGGATATTGAAGAAGTGGCTTCAAAACTAGATAATGTACTTCTTGACACATACCAGGCTTCTTCTTCATGACATGTGAAGGGTTTTTTTGATAATTTGAAAGAAGTGATGAAGCTGCCATACAAAAAGCAATTTAAAGACAAGACATGAGATTTTTGAATTGAGAATTTCATGGAGAATATTTGGCCAAGGAGTAGAATATGGGCTGAGCTAGCCATTGATGATTGCTACATCTTTATTCTTAGACTGCCTCAATCGTTATGATCCTTAACAGATTATAATATACAATTAGCATTTTTCTAATTGTTAGAATGTTTTTCAATTAAGCATTATGATTCAGATAATTCTTACTAATATAATGACGGTAAAATTACCTCTAATTCTCTTTGAAATGTGTAGACTGCTTTCTCCTAACCATTCTCTCTAGCATTCGCAAATTACTTATGTTTCTGATTATACAAAATTTAGAAAGATCTCTAATGCTACTAATTACTAGATATCCGTTGATGTGTGTAAGTCACAGTATGCCTGTAAAATGGACGTTTCCCCGGGAAGTAGAGTCAAGGTGTAAGCTTTAATTTTCACTCAACAGCAGTGGTTCTCAGCTGGGGATGATTTGCTTATATGTAAGCAACGTCTGGGGACATTTTTGGTTGTCACAACTAGTGGGATGTTATTGACATCTAGTACGTGGAGGCCAGGGTGCTGCTCAACACTCTACAATGGACAAGTTCCCAAAACAGTTATCCAGCCCAGAATCTCAGTAGTGCTGAGGTTGAGGCTGAGAAACACTGCTCTAAAGTAACTGACCTCCTCAAGTAAAAAGAAATTTTCCATAGTCACTTTAATTATTCACTAGTGGTTCAAAGAAGATAGCTCTGTAAATGTTATCAAACTAGACAATATATAGACCCCTAAGTGATAACTAGGGTTACCAGTTCTAAACATGTAATTATAAATTGTTTTATATGACATTTGTGCATTTTTCCATTTGGACAAGTGAAAACTTTATTCCACTGTTTTTGTTTTAAGCAGCCTTTGTATATTGGTTAGTTTGTCCAGGTGTTGGGCATGACCATCAAGAGTGGTTAACATGGGTGTTTCTGAACATATTTTTGCTAGGGAGGTGAAAATGGTGTAGCATGATAAACAAGTGTATTCCCCCCTCCCTGCCCACATGCTCAATCTCTGAGTCCGAAATTCCAGAGGTATTGGCTATAACAGTTATTTGTGTTGTTAAATTTTAAGAAGTAGACTGATGTCTCATAGCCTGAGGAATTAATGAAGCTTCTGAATACACCAAAATGCCAAAGCCATGTTTCTCAGGACTTGCTTTGTGGAGCATCATTCCTGAGATGCTCATGGGGATAAAAGGTTCTGTGGGCAAATAATTTTGGGACTTTGCAAACCTGCCTATTGGCATATTAAAGGCTCTAAGAATTCCTTTGAAGCTGGTTTGAATGTATCCTTTTCTAAAGATGGAACCTATTTTTTAAATTAAATACTTATTGACTTCTCATTGAACTTACTTTTGAAAACACTACAGTGGAGAATGCCGCCTTGATTTCTGGGTTGTATTTTTCTGTATTAATTTGGCAGTGTAAACTCTTAAGCATGAGCTCAGACAGATGCCACTCCCATTAGTGTTAGAATTAGGTTAGAATACTTTAGACACTGGCTTGACAACCTTGGAAGTCTAGACTGTGTTGAGATAAAGTACTTAATTATAAATATCGTAAAAGTTACTTTTAAATTATTATATCTTTGGGATTCAAATATTTTAAATATCTGGGCTTTTTTTCACTAGCTATAATAACTCATTTCAAAGGAGTAAATCCTGGATTAAAAAATTGTGTAATTTTTTTGTGTGAATTTGGGACTGAGTTGTAGAACCAATAACGCTAAAAAGTTGCAATAGAACCGCTCCCGTCTACGAAAGGGAATGAAGTGATGTTGCAAATGTAAATGCTGGCAGTGCAGCTTACTACACACGTAAGCCAAAATTGTTTTATAGAACAAGTGATCTATATTGTGTGATCATCATTTAGCTTAAGAAAGGCCAGAGCCGAGAGACAAGCAAGTGTTCTCTCATCTGCGGTGTATCAGCAGTTCTTAGGCTTCAGCTGCTGAATAGATAATAATTCTAATTGAAGATAAATTACATGAACCCACATGTGAATGATAGATATGTTCCAACATTTCATTCCTGGTGCATAAAATCAGCTGCAGTTTTTATTAGCCCTTTTTTCCAAAGGTTTTGGAATTCCAGCTCTATTTCTACTGGTTTGAATGTGACCTTGGGGTCATAGAATTCATAAGAGTTTTTGAAGGGATTTTGCAGGTTCTGCATATTCAGGCTTTCCTTTGCCCCCATCCCAGTGTCGTTTTTGCTTGCTCTCTCCCATTTCCACATACAAGTATAACAAAGTATGTACGTATGATTACTTATTTTAAATTGCTAGTACTGATTGGTAACCTCATAATTGGCCTTAGTTATCCTTGAAGTGTGGCAGAGGGGCAATGGATGATACATTTTCCAATCATTGATGACCTTTTCTATCTTTGTGATCCAATTGCCTTTACTAAGGCTATTAGGATGAATTTTGGATTGGTTTTGTAGTCATTGGGCTGTGGTAGTCTGCCTGGAAAAGAAAATTGAATAACATGAAAAATTCTTTAGGTCACTTCACAATGTGTTACTTATACACACAGCGGGGAAAGATATTTTAAGTCCAACTCTCAATTTGGCTCTTATGTCCTCTGCTGATGAGTTCTCACTCTATCTGGGAATGATATGCGATACCAGCCTTAGGAACTCAGTGTTCAATTATAAATCTTTCTATTTAACTTTTTGTGTTAGTTGAATGAAGTTATAGAATGTGAATTATTGGATACAGTTTTGTTCAGCCAATAGGCACTTGATATACAGAGTAGTAAATTTAAATATAAATTAAGTTTTTTCTAATGTTTTGCCCCAGCGCATAACTCTGCTGTGATTCTGTTTCTTTAATCACCCATAGACTGTCATGAGGCCTATGCTACAGGATGGGCTTTTATTTTTAGACTATATACCTATGATAGGTTTTAGTAAAATTTAAATTAAACAAAGCTGATTTTTTTTTAACCGGTGATGTACTTTAATATTGAATTAGTAGCTCACTGTGCGAGTTAAATTCTTGTGTTCTTTCACAGAGGAAAAAAGCCAACAGTTGACAACAACAGCAAACCCTGATGAGTCTCTTTCATATTACACTCAGCGAAATTTTTTTGAATACATATACATTTGGTGCATATAAAAGTTGTTCTCTTTTCCCACTGTCTAAGATGTACTAATTTCTGCCAGGCCCTTAAATGGTTTCGTTATGTTTTGCATTCATGAGGCTGACCTTACTTTGTAACTAAAAAATAATCCAGTGTATGTACACAGAAGTTTGGTCATTCCAAAAGTTTGATACCCTCTGAATAATTTGATAAGAACAATTGAATATGCTGTTAAGAGTAAAAAAAAAATCTCCCTCAACAGTCTTTTCTTTGTCTCTTACATTGTGTTGATTATATGTCGCTGATGGCCACTCTTAACATACAAGTCTAAGACTTACCCACTGCATTCTTTTGTGTCTTCCTTTTTATTTTCATGTTCCTTTTGGCCATTACAGATGTTCACATGTAAGATGATGAATTCAAAGCTAATGAATGTAGCTTTATAATTTCCTGCCTAATACTCTACAGTTCAATCTAAGGCCTTAGGCAAAATCTGGAAATGTTTATGCTGTCTTGTTTTTATCAAGTGGTGTCAGCTTGAGCTTCTAGAGAAATGTGAAGAAAGGTTATGTTTAACTGTATAATTGTGGGGGATTTTAGCCATAAGAATTGAAGCTGATGTGAGCCTGCTAACCTGTACGTTTTACAAAAAGAAAAAGGTTTTTCCAAAAATATTTTTGGTGTAGACTATTTAAAAATATAAATGTTATATAATTTATTACATGATATAAATTTTTAATGTCATTGACAGTACATTATATTACTTTACCTTATTGCTACAGATAAAATCTTAATGTACAGATCACTAACACTAAATTACTTGCCCATATTTTGATTCGGTCATCAGTATCAAATTGCCCAGAAATCAGCAAGAAAAGTCATACTTATAATGAGACTCATGAGTCATGGTGGGAGGGTGGCTGCCTAAGATTATTAAAAAAAAAGAGAGAGGAAAGAGATGATATTCCAACCATTTTGCAAAGGATCTATTGGCTGTAGAAAGTTGGATGCTTAGAGTTAATCTTTTCTAAAAGAAACACTTACCTTTTATTGGAAAATAAAATAGATTAGTATCGCTTCCTTCTTCATTTCAAAATTGTACTGTTTGAATTTTGCAGGTAGTTGTCATTTGATTTGGAGTTAGATCTCTGCACTAGTACTTATTAACCATCTGGGCTCACATATTTAACCTCTCTGAATCTCAGTCTTGTCAAATGTGAAATGGGTACAACCTTATAGGATTGAGGATTAAATGAGATGATAGTTATGTAAAGTGATTAACTCAGTGCCTGAAACATAGCACTTTCTGTTAATAATTGCTATGATGCTCTGCATAAAGGTATACTGTACCAAATTGTGCTAGATTTAAGTTAAAATATATTCATTATCTAGTTTATTTAGTAGAACTTTTTTGAGAGGGAGTCATCAATGAATTTTGTCCCTTCTCCAGTGGAAAGTGAAAAGTATGTAGTTGATTTTAGATGATCATCATCTTTTTTTATTTGCAGAGTTCTTCTATTGATTTCTCTGAGTTGCCTTTTGTTCTGCATTTACATTTGAGACTATTTTTTAAAAACATATTTAAAGTGCATTAACTATTTTATGCCCCTGAAATTTCAGATCACAACCCAGGAGAGATGTACAGAAAAAGTTTGTGTCACAGTGACTTTCACATCAATGATATTATTTGACCAAAGCTTTTGGTATAATCAGCAGACCTACAAGCATAGCAGTAGTTCATTATATTTAGCCCTAGTCTTAGATGACTTTATAGTAGAATGACTGATCATGGCTCCCAAATTTACATCTTTAGCAGACCTCTTTCCTGAATTCCACTCTCGTATGAAACTGCCCAGTCATCTCCTGGATGTCTAACAGACATCTCAGCTTCTACATGCCCAAGGTGATTCCTTGATCTTCCCCCTGAAACCTGTTCTACTCACAGCCTTCCCCACTTCAGTTGGTCACACTTCTTTCAGTTGCTTAGACCAAGAACCTTGGACTTATCCTCGACTTCTCTCTTTCTCACATTCTACATCTAATCCATCAAGAAATCATATTGGATCTACCTTAAAAATGTGTCCAGACTCAAACCACTTCTCACCTCCTCCTCTGCTACCAAGCAGGTCTGAACTAACAATGTTTCTTGTCTGGATTATTACAGTACTCCCAACACCACCCCCCCCACCCCACCAAGAAAAAAGTCTACCTGCTTTCTACTCATGCCCCTTTATAGTCTGTTCTCGATACAACAACCAGGGTGATCCTTTTCAGGCATGTGTCACGTCACTTATCTACTCAAACCCTTGCAGTGGCTTCCCGTATCATGGAGTATAAGCAAAAGTCCTTGCTGTGTCCCCAAAAGCCCTACAGCATCTGGCCACCCTACCCCTGCCTCCTCTGTCTTTTGGACTCTCCTTCCTGCTCTTCATCCTTGCTCCCTCTGCTCCAGCCAAACTGGCCATCTTGTTGTCCCTCAGACACTCCAGGCACACTTTGCCTTGGTTCCAGCTATTCCCTCTGCCTGGGAACATCTCAGTCCAGGCGCTTGGCTAACTCTCTCACCTCCTTTGTGTTTTTATTCCCAGTTTCCCTTTTCAATGAGGTCTACCTGGACTACCCTTTTTAATACGGTAGTTATCTCCTCCACTTTAGCATTGTCTAAAAATTGTCTTAAAATTGAGAGGGGAGCCTTAATTTTACTGGGCATAAGAATCCCTGGGGGTTCTTGTTAAAATGCAGATTTCAATTCAGTAGGTCTGAGGTGAGTGTGCAGAGGCCTGGCTATTTCCATCTGGTGCAGGATTCCTCTGACAGGCAGTCTCTGCTTCAGAGCTGCCTCAGGGCTGGCTGAACTCTGTGGGATCTGCATGGCAGTCAGGTGGCTCCCCTGCCCCGGCCTGCTTCCTCCCTTTTCTTTTACTGGTGTTACTCCCCCATAAAGCTTTCGTGCTCTCAGCAGCTGCGTCCTGGAGAATCCACGTGTGGCACGTGTGGTCTACAAGGTGGGCTATGCTCCCCTGCCTACCTCTCTAGTCTCCTTCATCTCCCAGCCCTCTTCTCCCTTGCTCTAGACAGACCTGCCAAAGCCCAGAGTCGACTCACTTACTAATATTTAAATAATACCAGTCCATAGTATAGTTCCTCGTTAGCCTCATAAATCTTTCATTTGTTGGCCATCACAGATTATTATGTTGTTTTAGTTTGGCATCATGTTTTAGCTATTTCATAATTTAAAATAGTAATGACTGTTTTTTTTGTTTGAGAGGAAGATTGGCCCTGTGCTAACATCTGTTGCTAATCTTCCTGTTTTTTTGTTGAGGAAGATTGGCCCTGGCCTAACATCCACACCCATCTTCCTCTATTTTATATGGGATGCTGCCACAGCGTGGCTTGATGAGCAGTGCATACGTCTGCGCCGGGGATTTGAACCTGCGAACCGTGGGCTGGCGAAGCGCGCCAACTTAACCACTATGCCACCATGCCGGCCCCCTAATTACTGTTTTTAAATAAGGGGGAAGACTTAATGATTTAGCACACCTTTGATAATTGGTCCATATGCTGTGAGAGAAGTAAATCATCCAATGACCAACCCTCAGGAAGAGTTTCCTTCAGGGCACTCTAGTGACCGTGAAGTAATTAAGAGGCCAGACTCCCACCCTGTTTCTACCACTTACTGGCTGAGTGACCTTGCACAAGTGACTTTCACCTCATCTGTAAAATGAGGAAAATAATATCTAAAAGGGTTAAAATAAAGATCAAATGAAATCGCGTGTTTCTAGTACCCAGCAAGGAGTCTGATATGTCGCAAGTGCTCTGATAGCAGCTGTTGTTAAATGGTGGCTAACAAAAAAATGGAAAATAAAGTAGCATCAGAAATAGCTTTTACAAAATGTAGCTGTGTTTATTGGCGTGATCTTTATTGAATCCTGTTAGGTTAGATGGAAATAGAAAATTGAGACTGAACTGTATTCAGAGCTCTGGGCTCACGTTGCCTTTTTCCTGGTGGCCCACTCCTTCCCTCCTCTCCTCTTCGTTCCTGCCTGACTTACCGCTGTTGGGTTCATTTCTTTAAGTCTTTTTTCCCCTGTTAAAATGCAGATACATCAGGAAATAGATAACTGCTATCCTTTATCCTTATCAGTTAGCTACATCTTCGTTAGGATGAGTTTATCAGATGTTTCTCTAAGTGGGTTATTTAAAAAAAAAAAAATACCATTTTTATTTAATAGAAAATTTCAAACATGTACAAAAGTAGAGAGAATCATATAATGAAGCTCAGTGTCCATCACTCAGCTTTGGCACTTATCAAGTCAAGTCCGACTTTGTTTCATCTACACCACCCTATTATTTTAAAGCGAGTCTCAGGCGTCTTTTCAAGGTGTAGCTCACATTTCAGTATGTATCTCTAAAGTAAAGGACTCATTTTTTTTTAAATCACAGTATCACCTTAAAATAATTAACAATAATGTATTGATATCATCCACTATACTGCCAGTGTTCATTTCTCTAATTACCTTTCTTTTTGTGTTGAGTCAGGATCTAAATAAGATCCTTTAAGGGTAGATTTTAGTGGAAAAGGGGAAGAGGTAAGAAACAGCGTGAGGAACCAGTGAAAATTACACAAGTGCAGAAAGGGGAGATTCGAAATACTTGAGACGGTGTTTTTCTAACAACTTCCCCATGGATTAATCATACTAGATTTTGGAGGATGTTCATATTCTACATGGGCTCCTAAAGATCTCCTAAAGTGCTGGAGAAATTACCATTTGACCTCGAAGTTTCAGTGATTATCATAAGAAATGAACTGAGTCCACACTCATGTATAATAATTCAATTTCAATGGCAACTTCCTTAACATAAGGCTGCGAATTAGAACCCCAAATTGGGTTAGGCCTATAAGACAGTAGGGGTAATTGTTCTAGCTATCTAGAAGGAACCCTTATTCTAAATAAGTATATTGAAGGCTAATTGAGCTCTTATGTTGGGTTCCAGACAGCCGGGCTTAATGAGTAGCGGAAGGTAGAGTGCCATCTCAAAACCAGTTTTCAGAGGAAAAGGGAGGCAGGCAGGCCCCCCCTGGGATAGATCAGAGGAGCTGAATGTGGTGCTCTGGTGGGAAGAGTCTGCCTGATGTGTCTCGTGGATCACATTAGAGAGACAAAGGAACTTTGAGGAAGCAATTGGAGCTTTTGACTAAATAAAAAGCTGAGAAAGTGTTCTTCACACTCCCTCCTCCAGAAAATTTGG